CGGCAACGCTGCTGCGCCATCTTGAAAAATACACCATTGCATAACCCGAAAAATGAAGGGGCATTAATACACGATTGCATAACCCGCATATTGAAGGGGCAACATGCAATACTTTCTTTTTACAGCGTTGCCATATTGAACAATAATCCCTATACAACGCTGTAATTTAATTCATATTTTTCTGCACAATCATGCAACGCTGTTGGATAATTTACTGGGCTAAAGTCGCCATTTTCACCCTACTGCTGTTGGACATTTTACTGTGCTAGGATCGGCATTTTCACCCTACTTAAGAAAACCCTCAAAGTGTCAAATCTTGACCTCGGTGAGGTAAAAAGTTGAAGGAGGTTGAAGGGATTCATAAATCACCCTGGCTGTATTCTGGCTTTCTGCCGTTGTCGCTTCAAACGGTTTACCCTCAAAGTAGACTTTTACTGATCATCAGTTAAATTAGAGCACGCTAAATTAACAAAAAATATTCCGCTAGAATAGCTGACGTAAAATGAATGCTAAATAAATCGCGCACCCACATAAAAAGCAAAATACTTTCGTCTGTTAGTTTTTTTCTAATTGGACATTGATATTACTATTTTGGTCCACATGATATTGTGATACTCCCCGCTGCCGCGAGGGAGGAGAGGGTGACGGCGCACATGCGCGGTGCTGAGCGGCGATCGGGAGGGGGCCGCTAGAGCTCACGGGCAACCAGCGAGGGACCGCACTGTAGTCTGATAGTCCGGTGCCGACCTCCCGCCGCGAAGGACGGATTGATAGTTGATTTGATATTTGAGATTTTGTTTGGATGCTTTTTTGTTTTATCTGTACGAAGCGAAATCCCTTCTTCTTTTTGTTGTCCCCATTATTTCATATAGGCAACCCTCGCTCAAATCCTCGAAGGCGAAGCTACAAGCGGCGCTGAAAAGTGCCGGTGCGGAGCGGTCGGGTTTTGAGTGAGAATTTGACGGATCAATTGGACTACATTTTGCAATTTGGAGCTATAAATTATAGCCCGGTTTAAAAACTACGTATGTGCCATTAGTTTCCCTATGCACATACGTGTTTTTCCAGAAGAGCCAGATTTTATAGTTCCAAATTGCAAAATGCAGTCCAATTCATCCACGATTGTCGCGAGACGTCGCAGGTGAAGTGACCCGTCGCCCCAATATAAAAGTGGGATTCCAATTTCGACCCCGCCTTTCTTGTGCCCCAACAATGTCATATTTTTGGGAGCCTGCAATTGGGATTGGAAGGCAGTTCTCCTCTCAGCGGAGCCTCTTAACCCTAGAGAGCACGTTGTCAGGAGGCAGATACGGGAATTTCCATCATATATGATGGATAGGTAACTTAATAACCGCGGACCGAACAGATTGGGCAAATGGGGCTCTTCATTGAAACCCACCTAAAAAAAGGTAATTCATTTGTTTTTCTACTTAGCTGTTTCTTCATCGACATGGTTTCTTATGCTTGGGAAAGAAAATAATAATTCGTGTCAAACACTTACTACTCCCTCCCAATGAGCGGCCCTTGGAAATGTTCGGTAAAACGCATTTCAAAATCGCGAAAAAGGGCTCCGTGTGCTCCAGTCTCCGAGTACACCACTTTTTTTTTTTTTCGAAAGTGAAATGTTTAAGAATTTTTTGGCGGAGAGCTTGGTTTGATACGGCAATTCACTTGAGCGTGGGGAATGATTGAAAGAGGATGAAAAAAATGTTTCAACCTCTGCCAATCGCTGAAAAATTGTCCGATTTACATCCGGTTTGGACAGTGTGGCTTGTTTTTTCTGTAGAATTGATTTCTGAAATAAAAAAAATAGGGGTGCCATTTGAAAATTTCGATTTACGGGGGGGGGGGGGGGCATCCCCCACCCCGCGCCTCTCCTGCGGTTTGGAAATATAAGAAATACGCCAAAAGGTGTACCCCTCGATGTAAACGAACACATCTTTTACCGTTTTCTGAAATTCCGACGCGTTCATCAAATACTCCAGGTGGCTCCTTTTTCGCGAGACACCCTGTATACTTATGCTTTATGTGCGCTACTTATATACTCTGTATACACTCTACTGTACACTATATATAAATACACAAATAGTACACTTTCTTCACAAGAAATAAGTACTCTTGCCAGTTAAAAGTAGGAAGATTCTTACCGTCTGTCCGTCCTTTTAAATAGCTTCCCCATTTCAATGAAGTATGGCATTGAGTAGCTGACCACGAGTTCGTTTTCATTGATGCTTGCCTCCAAGAACGTAGACAAGAGCTCCAACCAGTTGAGCTGCGGAACGAGCTGCTGCAATTCTCTGACGGTAAGTTTCGTGTACTGCGAACTGGAATCATGACGATCAACTTCCGCTAGAGACACCTAAAATTTGGACGCAGCACCGGTTAAATGGTTAAGTTGGGGGTCCTAAAAGTAGGTATACTACCCAATTGCCGACACCCTAGAGAAAATTTGCCACCAAAAGATTCTTCAAAAATCATCGACCCATCTTACCAGGAATTTGGAAGTATTCTGAAAGCTTTCTAAAGGCGTAGAGCTCTAATAAAAGTTAATTTATGAGACAAATTTAAGTTTTTAGCGTCACTCTTTATGATCGAAGTACTGAGGCCTTTTCCACACGAGCGCGATTTGAAGAACTTCGGGCGAACTTGTTCCAAGAACTTAATATATTTCGGTTAATTAACTCTTTCCGCGAACCAGTTGGTTGAAGTTAATCGCCCGTTAGGTAAGTTCTGCGAACTGCGCTTGCAAGGACAAAGGCAGCCAGGAAGAGGTAAAAATGGATGTATTTCTATCAAACGGAACTAAGCGCCAATTTGAGTTCCTTTTGAGGAATTTAGAATGCCGGATAGCGCGTTCTGTCAAACGGACCTAAGCGCCATGGAAAAGCATTGCGAGTATAGGACGGGATAATAGCCGGACGCCCGATTCCGCCGCCAATTCCAAGCCCCCCTCTACCTTCCTCCTCCGATGGCGCTTTGGTCCGTTTGATAGACATACGTCCAAATGTCGATGATCGTCACAATATTCGCTGACGCAGCCTCACTCCGTCATTTTAAACCAACTTATTTCATTTTAACACACCAGAATGTTAGGTAAATGAGAAATTTCACTCACTGATTTACCTATCTGCCTCCTTCCTACTTTATTTTCTCACTCGATCCGTGGTTATAAGTTAAGTTAAAGATGGGAAACGAGCCCAATTGTAATAAATATTTCTCTCTTGAATGAAAATGCACATTGCACATCCCTTCAAATCCTCCAGTTTATGACCCGTCCCTTAACTTTTTGCAGTCAGTCTACCATATTAGTGATATTTGAAATTGACGACCAAAATTTCATAGGAAAGGACACCTCGCCTGACACTAGTTGCAAATTTAAAATGTCTTTAATCGTTGAATCACAGCTGCCTTTTTTCATTTCAGGAATTTTAAGGGGTATTCCGCGGTCAAACCGTGGCAAACTTTTTGTATGTTGGGTGTTGTTTAGGACGATCCCTAGCGAAAATATTACCTTACGGTGAGCTAACCATCACCTTGCGGCAAGGTATCGGCCTTGCCACCCTCTTCGAGCCCTCGCCGGGTCAGTTCGTGGAACTTAACGACTGGGAATAATTATGCATGGCAACGTTGGAGACGAAAATCAAAACCCAACACGGGGTATTTCCCGATGCTGTGTCGCCTTTTTCGCGCCCTGCGTCTGGATTTGGGTCTACAGTGTTGTCATACGGTTTTATTCCCAGTCGTCGAGTTCCTTGAACTGGTTCGGCGAGGGCTCGGATAGGGCTTGGAGAGGATGGTAAGGCCGATACCTTGCCGCAAGGTGATGGTTAGCTCACCGCAAGGTAATATTTACGCTAGGGGACCCAATGATGGTACTCTAATTGAGAAAGTCTGTTACGCAATTTGTTCCGAGTTAGCCCTCTTCCTTCCGTACTTTTCCTGGACAACGAGAAATTTTACCAAATTTCTAAGAAAAAATAAGGATTTTTCGAGTTTTATACGAAGGCGGCTGCGCTGAGGGAAATAACGATAAGAAAAAGTTGTGTTGAAAATTTAAGTCCCAACAACTTTAAGCCTCTGCGTTTGTGTCGTATTTGCCATGGCCACCAATTTATTGTCTAATAACGTGAATTTTTTGTAATTTTCGAGTTCAGCGTCAGTCCAGGCGATGAAAAAAATTGGGAAAAAATCATGCGTTTTTTTTAGACCATTTCACCATTTTCGTACTATTTCCATTGCTGGGAAAAAATATTTCCAAAAACGCTCCAGCCTAGTAATGACACACTGGAAAATTCAAAATGAAGGCACAATCTAGTGGTACCAGAATTACGTGAAATTGTTTCATTTGGAATAAGAGTGATTTCATGGGGGCGAAGTAGGGGCGAGGATACTCATATTTCTAAAAAAAAAGCTTAAGAGGTGCGCAATTTCTGATACAGAGATTATGAACTGGCATCACTTGATTTAGAATAGTGACGGGTTTTACAGTGTTTCGAACCTGTTTAATTTACTTTCCATTCTTCTCCCCCACCCCATCTCTCCCCCCTCTCTCCCCCTCCCTCTCTCCCCCGCTCGTTTGATGTGAATGCTTAACGTGTTTATTATGATAATTTAGCCCCATCCCCGTTTCAAGTTTTCCTGCCGCCGCACCGCCCAACTTACGAGAGAATTCTACGTTTGTAAGATTAGGTATAGATTTTAAGCCTGTCTTGTAAGAATTCGAGACCAAAAATATCCCAGATAACAATTTCAACGTTGACAACAACGTAGAATTTAACGTTTCCCATGAAACCTTTCACGTGGAATGCAACGTATACCGGAACGTGTAATTCTACGTGGGCGTCCATGTATTAAGTACTGGTTCCGGAACGTTCCCGCGTAAACGTTGTTGTGTCAACATAGCGGGGACGTTGCAGCGGGAACGTTCCCAAGACGGGGACAGCATAATAATGAATTTGCAGGTGTCTGAAAGTTGATGAATTTCGTGTTTAAGTGGAAACTACAGAGTGAACGGATCACGAGGATACCCTTGCTTCATGAATTTAACAATTATAGGAGAAGACATGACAAAATTATATAATCTGCTAGAATACGTGTGTTTAAATGGGAAATGCCAGCAGATGACGTCACTAGGTGGTACCGTCAGTTGGTCTAACATGAGCCGGTTTTTGACTTTGAGGCTTTGCATTTTTGCAGTAAATTTTTTTTTCATGCAATCAATTTTTGTTGTAGATCAGTCCCACATAGAAGAGTAAGAATAGCCCATTGAAAAAAATTTCCAGCAAACTGGGTATTTTTTTTTAAAAAAAAATTGAGGTGGCTCATGTTACCTGCAAGGTGGGGTAACATGAGCCACCCTATTGTTTTTAATTAAAGGCACATGTAAGCCTACTATAGGCTTACATGAGCCTCCCAAAAGTTTTTTAAAAAAAAAATTGAGTTACAAAACATTAAAAACCAGGCTAAAAACGTACAAAACTTTAATTTTTCTGCAATTTACGTCAAATTTCAGGCAAACAAATACATTTAACATCTAAAACCTTGTATCTAACAGGAAATCATTTAACAATCAATAGCACTAAGTTACTTTAAAGGCACACCGAAAAGACAAATGGGACCTAAAGTCAAGAGAGATCAGTCAAAGTTTCTTAAAAAGTATATATATAGTAGTATTTTGGGCTACGTTAGATTCACTTTTATTTATAGTAGTATATATATATAAGTATAAAATTAATATTGACTTTAATTTTAATTTTTGGAACTTTTTAGCTTTGTTTTCCCCGCAAAATGGTGTGGACTCAGCACCATTTCTCCACCTTGTTACATACAGTTCGGGCCACTTCTTAGTGTTTTTTCTTTTTTTTTCTTATATAAGTATATATAGTATACAAGTCTTAAAAAGACGAACAGTAAATATGGAAGATACGTGAAGGAGTTGATTTATGCTCTAAAGGAATGCCAATTTTACTAAGAATGTATCATGAAAACCATTACTGTATAGATTGTTCCTGGAGGACTTGCGAAAATTGGGTGGCTCAAGTTACCTCCAACATTCCAAAATTTTGGTTTTTCCAAAAAAAAATTGGTCAAAAACTAAAATGTTCAAAATCCAATGCATGGGCATGAAAGTTGGAGGTATTTGTGAGGTTCGGCGACCGGCGAAATTATTCTGTGATTATCGATAGTCACTATTCAAGGAGGTTAGTCTCAGAGGTAGAAAAAGGGGCAAAAAATTCTAAAAACTAAATAATTTATAAAAATTTCTTATCGATGGAAAAATGTGTCTCTATACCATTGAAATTCCGCCAAGACACGCCACTATCACATCATGTTGTTGTTTTCGTTGTTTACTTTCGCGACAGTGCTGCCACAGGCAAGAGAAAAAAAAATCCCCAAACGGCTCATGTTACCCCCGAGGCTCATGTTAGACCAACTGACGGTACATTTTCTCACTTTTAAATCCAGTTAAAATAGTATTTCCCATATCAGAAAAAAATTATGAAAACTTCTATGAAATCAGCTCGTTAAGCACTTTTAGATGAAGTAATAAAACATTTGCATGCAAATTCTCCATTATGGATCAGTTTCTGCTTGTTCTGGAATAATACTTATTAAGAAAATGAATAAATTTATCGACGGCTAAATGAATAAAAAAAGAAAAGAACTTAGTGTTAGCACACGATTAAACATGATCGTTTAGTAAGTTATTCTTCATACTTAAGGGACTTACGTTTGCAAGATTGATTTCGAAGTTGAGCATTTCAAGGAGTTCAGCTGAGACAGTTGAGACGTTGGCCCCGAGTAAGACGGCTACTTCGGACATGTAGCGATGGTAAGCCGTCAGTGCCGCTTTACTACTCTCCTTCAAGAAGTAATCTCGGCTTGGCAATCCAAAAGTTATTTGGTCTAGCTGAAATTCAACTCACTTGCTTTAATCAAATAATACTTTTGTAAAAGGTAACCGGTAAAGGGCGTGGGTGCGTTCCCCTGCAGACGGAGCTATGCCCATTGCCATTTTTAAAAGTTGCATTGGTTGCAGGTAAAAAACAACAGGCCGTGATGAAAAAAGGGTAGTACACAAATGTATGTATGTAGGTATGTATTTATGTATGTATGAGTGGTTAGTAGATGCGTTTATTTGGTGCTTTTAACATCTGAGCCATGTATGTATGTACGTATATATGTCATACCTCTTTCCCTTGTCCGAGGAAAAAGAATAGAGCAACCCCAAGGGCTAACTGACGAGACTAGTCAAGACAACGGCCAGACCGCGCCTCTTGCCCTGAGGAAAAGGTGAATAGATGAGAGCAGTAAAGGTAAGTGACTAAAAGCGGATTGGCCAGACCAATCAAGACAACGGCCAGATCGTGCCTCTTGCTCTTAGTCGGAAGGGAAACAGAAAAATGGATGAAATGTGACAAGAAGGGGGGGGGGGGAGACTAACAATAGTAACGAAAGGGCAGAATTAATGATAACAATGAGTAAATACTTGTTCGGGGCTGAGACCTTGTATTCTAATCACAACAATAGATAACACTGATCAATATGAGAGAAAAAATGAGAAAATAAACTGAAGAAAAAAAGAAAGCGAAAGAGACAAGAAAAACTAACTGTATCGATTCGGGGTATCCGACATATCCAACATAACCTACTCATCCAACTCGTCAAATCCTACAAAAACTCATCCCGAGGTCGAGCTCCGCGCGCTACGGAAGCTCTCGTCCACCTAGATCTGCAGTCACGACCAGGGATCCTCGTCCTCGTTGCCTCCGAAGCGCCGCGGGCCAGCAGAGGGGATAGCTGAATCAGCACATGGCTGCCGCCGGAAAACAAGTGTTTTTTAGCGAAAAGGACAGACGCGATTCTACCTCTCACTCTGGCTCGAAACGCTACGGAAACTCACGAGTGGATTTCCCTGATCACCATATGCCACTCTGGCCACTCAGTCTTTTGAGATTTGTCCTCAAATCTTTTGGTTATGCCCCGGGAGTCGATTGTTAGGTTTTCTTCCTTTTTTACAATTTTTGTATTACGTTAAATTTTGAAATTGATGCTACCTCTCACGCTGGCCGAAATTGACGAAATGGAGTGGGGAATGTTGAAATTTTTATGGAAATAAGGAGTAAGGATCACTAAACATTTCTAGTTAAAAATTGTGACAGATCTTCTTTTGAAAGAAAATTAAATGCAGGCTACACAGAAAACTCACCCTTTCACTCAACCTCTAAATAAAATTATAACTACAGGAAACCAATTAAGACGAAGATTTAAAAGATATTATGAAAATACTCCTATCATGATATCTTATTTAAGATCGTCCTTTTAGAAGATCTATTTTTGTGGTTAGAATACAAGGTCTCAGTCCCGAACAAGTATTTACTTGTTGTTATCATTGATCCCGCCCTTTCGTTACTATCGTTAGTTCCCCCTTCTTGTCAAATTTCATCCATTTTTCTCTTTCCCTTCTGACTAAGAGCAAGAGGCACGGTCTGGCCAATCCTCCTTACCCCGCCTAGTCCCTTACCTTTACTGCTCTCATCTATTCATCTTTTCCTTAGGGCAAGAGGCGCGGTCTGGCCGTTGTGCCTTGACTGGTCTGGCAAGTCTGCCATTGTTCATCATATTTCTCTTAGTCTCCCCCTCCCCCCCCCAAGCTCCCTGTTCTCTAGAGGGGGCATATTACCTTTTTTTTCTTTCTTTCTTTTTTTAATTTTTTTTTCTTTTTTTTTGTCGCCACATGGTCACTTTTTCGAGGCGGACTTTGCTCTTTATCCCCGCGAAATTTGAAGCAATAGGCTGAGCGAGGGTCGCGGATATTTCAAGAACCGGAGCAAGGTTGGCCGACTGCCGCCCTTCTGGTAGCTATTATTCTATGACTGATTGTAGTTACCAGCGGAAGGCTTCCTGCTGCAGCGCTGCCGCGCCGGCTCGAATCCTCTGATTCGTTCACGCACCTCATGCGATCCCACTTACGGACGTTGGAAATCCCCTTCCTCAACTCTTGCCTATCGACGGTCTTACTCCCCTTCCTTACCTCGTCCATCGAGCATCTTAAAAATGATTTTATTAGAATCTGAATAGAGAGGATTTCTGCCTTTTTAAGAATTTTCGATTTTTAAGTAGTTATATCTTTCTTACGTTGCAAAATATTTTGACCAAATTGTTTCCATTTTGTAGATCCTCATTGGAGCTACTATTCTGCCAAAAAAGAAGAAGAATTGAAATGAGAGGCAATAGATTTCGAAGGGTGGAACTCAAAAGTGGAGGAAGGACAAATCTTGTCCACTCGATAACTCGAGTTAAAACGAATATTTTGAGCTGGAATTTTTATGGGTGGTAGTTTTTCCCCTGGGAATGGTTTGGTATTGAATTTGAGAAAATCGACTGAGCCGTTTAAAAATGGCGAGCTTTGAAAGTTTTAAGCGGGGGATGTGCAGCATGAGGGGAGCAAGCCGGAGCGGGGCCGCGCAGTTGATCAGGGGGTGAAAGCTTTTAGACAAACTGTTTGTTGCATATCTGTCTTTGAGGAAAGTCTCGCCCTTTCAACCGTTACAACTATTTTCAAAATTCGAAAAAAAAAATGGCTGGGAAGATTAATAATATTGGTAAATTGCAAGACTCTTGCTCCCACTTCGGCAAATAAACTTTCCTTCCCGCAGTGAATATAAGGGTTACTTAAAATAATTAGAAACGACTGAAAAGATGCGAGCGAAGAGCGCGTTTTGGGGGGTTTGGAGGGGGGGGAGCTTGGTGGATCGAGTCAATGGGAGGGGTCGGTCATCGCGCATCACGCGTGTCATTTTCTCTGATTACAGAGATTTTCCGCCCTTAGTGCAGAGAAAATTACCCTTGCTTGGTGTATTTTACGTCGTAGATTCCATTTTTGAACATATTAGGTATAGCCGAATAACGAGTTTTAGTACAATTTTGACACACTTTTTCATGACTATTGAAAATCCCATCCTTGATAGCTTATTTTTCACGTTACTTTCGGCGAATGGGACCGTACGCGTCTTACATAAAGAAGAATTTTGCAAAACTTGACTAAAAGACATTACTTGAGGAGTAAGTCCCCTCACCACGAAGGTTGCCATATTTCTTTCAATTTCTTCTAACATCGTTTTTTATTCATGTTAATTGGTTTCTCGCGATTGCATACTGACACATATACGGAAAATTCTGATAATGTTCATTTTTCTTCTCTTTTCCTCCAGCCAATCGATAAACGGTTTCATTTTTATGAACCCCTGCTCTTTCAGTTATTCAACAAATATGCATCTTTCAAAAAATAGATCAATTTATTAAAGAAATAAAAAAAATTGGCCTCCGGCCAATTTATGCGCGGCGCAAGCGCCGCGTACCGGCGCCTCGCGCCGGCATGTGGGGGGGCTTAGCCCCCATCATGGTGCGAGAATCGCACAACACTTTCTCACTTTTGCCGGCGCTCCGCGCCTGCAGAGACACTTTTACTGGAATATTTAGAAAAATACTGCCAATTTCACAAAATCATAAAGTTTGATTGGAATTTTGATCGCAGGATAATAGTTATGAAATTTGTATTCAAACCACTGAACTTTATTGTAAATGTCTTCGCGATATGTGATGAATTCATATATTCGGACTCGACTTGTTGATTTTATGAGGCATCTTCAATTGAATATGTAATTGATTAACAAAGTCTCCTGTCAAAGACGGCGATCCGTAAAAATCTTAGCTTTTCTACGATTCATTAGGATCCATTAGATTCATTGACATCATACTTCAGTTACGATTTTATATTATAATCTCTCCTTAAGCACGGTCAAAAGCCATCAAATATGTCGTAGAGTTAGATTAATGCACAGCGGAAAAAGAAAAAGGAGAAAAGAGAAGAAGAGCTTTAGTAGGCGACATGGCTTAAGCCTCTTACTTTTATTATGTAATATAACCTCAAAAGACAAAAAGACAGCTGAGAGCAACAGATGCGCACGCATGCTAATATAAAATGCGAGGTTGACAAGTTTACAGCATTAACATTAGATTGAAAATGGAACACCAACAAAATATCTACTTTAATGGGTAGAATGACTATTCGATGTTTAAATAGTCTTAAAACTAAACGGTTTTCGCTTAGCATCTCCCAAATTTTAAATTTGGCGGGCGAATCTACCTGCTGGAAGGTTCACCACACGCCCGCCAAGAGCGCCATCTCCTTACCGCGTATCCCCGTAATTCAAAGCGAAAACAATAGAGAGCGCCATCTCCTTGATGCTGTCGACAAACGTCAACAAACCTCAGGTTATAACCTCCTTTATTAACAAGCATTAAATCAGTCATATTTGTGCCGAATTATTATATTATATTTGTGCTTAGTACCTCGTAAAAAGAAACCGCAAAAGATGGAATCTGCCGGGATTCTAAATTCATTAACAACAAACATATTAGTTTTTAATAAAGATTTAAGTGTCAGTTCTTGGCGTTAGCTTGATGATTCATAGTACCTATGTAAGTAATGTGAGTACCTAATTAGTTGTCTAATTTTGCTTGGTGTATACCTACGGAGTAATTTTGGAAATAGTATATGATGCATTATATAATGCATTTGAATTCCTGGGTTTCACCTGACTCAAAGAGTTTGCTGCTATTATCTAGAAGCGTTCCGACTCATTCATCAGAGAATTGAGCGTTTCCTATCGGCCCCTCTGCAATTATGAGATTAGTCCAAGAATCCTTTAGGAACTTAAATTAATGACTCAGATGGTGCTTTTGAGCCAACTTTCAAAGAATTAAAGGCATTTTTTTTAAAATCTACAGTCCATGAGCTCTCCGTGTGACCGAAGTGCTCTCCTCGCTATGTGACGCGTAACCCTTCAATTTTTAGTTTAGTCTAAAGACCTCATAGGAACTTACATTATTGAACCAGGTGGTGCT